CTTGTCTGAACTCACACAGCAGAGTTTTGCAAGAGCCGTAACTTTGAAATATAGATCTGTAGAAAACCCATGGGGGGAGAATGGCAACAATCCAATTGCAATAGTACAATAGGGGCAAATTAGTGCAGCTGGTAGATCTAACCTAAATAGCTAAATAGCAACAGCCACAAGCTATTTTAGGTATAGTTTGGTGGGGACCGTAATAAATACGATTTGGGGAGGAGTGGCGAAAGTGAAGGCTTTCTTCTTGACTCTTTTTTGGTTTCCGTTCGTTTGCCCTTCTCCTTAGCAATACGCGGCCAAATCACGATGCCAGCATCTTCTGCCTAAGGGCCAGCTCTTGACATCCTTGGTCAGTGTTGGTTCTTCCTGTCTCCAGCAAAGAATCTTACTTTCCACAGGGGAAGGAGGAGGTGGCTGCAAGACTACGATGGCCTTGGGATTTGTCTCCAAGAGAAAATTCTAATAGATGCGAAAACAATATAGGGGTTCTAATAGAGGCATTTCCTCCAGATAATGATTACCTGGCAAAACTGATCCTGTGATTCCCAGAAATGTTGCACACAGAACTATTGCTGCCTCAAAATGAAAGCCAACATGAATCAACTTCTATCTAGTGGGATGTGAAGAAGAAAATGTATGGGACAGCTCTTCATCACTATCCACACTCTTAACATCTTCTGGCCCATTGAGTGCCCATCTGTAGTTTAGATGTGCTGGTGAGCTGGATGGACCTTGGGACTCACCTGGGCTGCAGTCGCTGTTGTCCTTTCATCACAGCCTGTATGTCAGAAATGCTCTGGTGTCTATTGATTAAATCCAGTCGACAGTACAATTCGGATCTGTGTTTTTAAATGTCTAAGATGATTTGACTGTATTTTTCTATACATGTTATTGTCCAAAACATTTTGCACTTCTATTAGTTAGGGTGAGTCTCTAATACAACGGCAGGCAACGCTCAAAATGACCTGTACAGTAAAGAAGTGATATTACATCCATTTTACAGCAGAATCAATTGAGGAAGAGAGTAGAAATGATCCATTCCGAGAACACAGGAAGCACGGACCAGAATACAGCAAAGATATGGCATTCCAAGGCCTGGTTTATGACCACAAAACCGTGATTCCTTTTTTTGCTTTAAAAGCCTTTTATACTGAGCTTTCTAGTCAACTGTGGGTTGAAGCAAATCTTTGGTTAGTTCCGCTGCAGCCATGTTGAATTACATCAGCTGAGCATTTGATTGTACTTCACTGATATTAAGCCACTTCAGTTGCCGTTATGCATGTCTGATCCTTCCCCAAGGTAGATATTTTTTCTAGCATTTTGAGGGCATAGCATAAGTCAGGTGAGTGTGTTGTGAGCCCCTGTGTCAGCCATAAGGCAGTAGCTGACATTAGACGTTAAAAGGTATTTAAAGCCACTCAGATAGGTCCAGTCATTGTAGGTGGATGAGAGCTTGCAGAAGGTCATTAGGTTCCTGATGAAGGAAATGCCTCTGAAAGGCAGAAGAGGAAATGACAGATTTAATGAATAGTAGTCACAAACTGAAATACAAAGAGCAACCAGTCTGCATGCTTTGCTACAAGAATAATTATGGCAGAACCAAGATCAGACAACTCTCGTGCAGTACTTGATGGCAAGACCTCTCCAAACCAAAAAGCATGACAGGTGACACCGAGGAAGAGTCTCTGGCCAGTAAGGAGAGTGGCTGCATTTATGCAGGCAGTGAACGGAACTCTTTGAGAGGTGCTGTGTCCTTCTGTTTCCACCACGGAAAAGAATGTCATGACTTCTGCAGCCAGAACACCAGAGCATTGTCTATGGAATGGGAGGTCTCAGTATCAAGGGCAGGTTGCCACTGTTATCAATGGTTCAAAAAGCTGATAGATAGATCTAGGTGGAATATCAGATATGCATGAAAAGAAAGAGGCATTTCATGCAGGCGGACAGCATTCACCAGGCTGCTCAGATCCAAGGAAATGAGACTGCACTTGTCGTACCCAAGGTGAGGCATTGGAGCATATGCTTGGACACAGCAGGTCTGGTAACAGAATCATTACAATCTGTCCTTGAGCAATGCTGCTCTAGATGTTGATCATAGAGGGTTTATGCTTTTCTGGAAACAGCTAATGATGACATGATTCAAGAGGTCTGTAAAGGTCTCAGAGGGAGACTCAGTAAAACATCAAATAATTATGTCAGTCTTGTCATGGATGACAAACTAAATGCAAAAGCATCATTCTCACGGAGAGTTAAAAGAAGCAACAGTTGGAGCTTGCTTCCAAAATGGAAAAGGAAATTATTCCTGCCAATTTTGTTACTTTAGGCAGTTGAAACACCATCTGAATTGAGATAGTGCTATGCATCAAGAATGAAAGTGGTCACAGATGCTTATAAAAGTGGACATTGGTGGAAGACGTGACAAAGATTGTAATCAGTGATGCAATGAACAGCAATGCTGGAGGCAAACTGTCCAGTGGACAAAAGCTTTCTTGTCTTGGGGGAAGATCGTCAAGTGTGAGCCTTTAACATGATCAAAAATACACAAAAGAATACACAGCCCACGTGTGACAGCCGCTTTCTACCTTACTGTTTGCAGTGCTATTCAGCACACAGGTGGACCTGCTGTGGTATCCACTGCCTTCAATGTTATTTGTCTTCAACAGGATGCTGTCACTACTGAAGACGACTTCTGCCTTCTCTTGCCTCTGTGCTTTACTGCAGCCTGTTTCTGGGTAGGAAATCAAAAACGTTGGTGTTTTGTAACTGTGTTGTTGAACTTCCATCACAACAAGCCAGAATCAAAAAGGTAGGATGAGGATGAGGGGACAAGGAGAAGAAAGCAGAGAAGAGCAGAGAAGGGGAAAGAGAAAGAAGGATACTTGGATCATCTCCAGTTCCTCCCTTACAAGACTGGCTGTTTTGCTAACAGATTTGCTCTTAGTCAGCCATAAATGGAGGGCTTGCTGCAGGAATGATGAGGTGTTAATTCTATGGCTATGTTA